CACTTTAACCCCTTCATGACTGAGCTAGTTTTCAGGTTCTGTTCATAAATGACTGACACATTTTTTACATTTTTGCTGTGTGGTTCTTCCACGTCAGTAATATACTTTCTTACTAAATGTACCCACACATATTATATATTGTTTTTTAGAGGACAGATAGGGCTATATAATTATATCACATATGTGTACCTAACCCCTCACTTAGTTTGAATAAAATAAAAAAATATTTTCCTAATTTTGTTTTACACTTTATTTTAATTTTTTTACACTTTGTAAAAAAAATAAAAATAAAATAAAAAAAACTTTTTTTTTTCTTGTCAGTTTATATCAAGCAATCACTATGACAGCTTGATAAATTAACTTTTATCGCAAGGTGTGCGATAATCGTACGATCGCGGGATTTCCCGCAATTATTGTACGATTATCGCAAGGTGTGTGGGCACCTTAATACACAAAATAGATGAAACTTTAACCGTTTTGCTGCCTGTGCAAATCTGAATCATTGACTAGAAAATTATTTTAAAAATGAATCATAGCTTTAAAAGAAAGTTGGAAGTTGCAATTGTTCATGTCTGAGAATGTTTACGCAACTGTTTATCAAATAACAAACCCAATATAATCCTTATATTTTGTATGACATAAAAGATGAGGTTGTGTTGAGTAAAAGGATACCAAATATGTAAAGCCTGAAAACTGTGTGCACCCACCAAACTTGCCATTAGGCAACTCTTTAAATGCCTCTGCAGTTCATCAGTTAACCATAAATCAAGAACTTAGGATTTTTCTCTCACTCCAACTTGTGCGTTTTGCATTTGTATGTGTGTGTGCGTGAGGCGACAGGGTGCTTTTAAATCTTTTATTTATTTAATTTTTCTACACTTTCAAAACATTGATTTTTTTTCCCCCCAATTAACTTTATTGCTATTACAAGAGGGGCAACAAGCCCCCTATGTGACAGCAATGGGCAGGTGACAGACACGGGCAATGGGCATTTGACGTCTCCTACTGTAAGGTCGCACGACTTTTATCTTATGAACATGTTTGAAAACCCGTTGAGAATTGTACGACTGTCGGCGGGTGTGTGGCATGTTCGCAAGATAAAAGCCGCACGGGCCGGTGTGCACAAGCGCACACTGCCCGTTTAGCATTGCGGTTATCGGAAGCCCGCCCCTCAGCGGGGCCGGCTTGCGATCATCGCAAGTACGATCTGCCTGTCCAAGATAGGCAGATCATACGTTTTTTTAATTCCCTTACAACCATTGCAAGGCAAAAGTCTTGCAATGGTTGTAAGGTGTGTGCCCAGCTTTAGAGCTCACCAGTTAGTGTTGGTGCATCCATTTGTTGTGTACTGGCAATCTTATGACAATCCCTTGGGACACCATCCCTCCGTCAATGGCTTTGGATAAAAGGTCAGGCTCTTCTGGTTCTGCACCATAATGGGAGTCATTTACCATCACCTGGTAATGTGGTATACTCCTGTCTGTCTCCCCTGACCCATTCCTACTCTGTAAAATTTCTGAAACAAATTTTCCAATTTTTTTTTCTCCACCAGACACTGAAGCACCAGAAGAAATGTCAAACTCTGATGTTTTGTTAACGATCAGTAGAGTGTTAAAATTCTGAAGTTAGTCAGACTACTTAGAAAAAGCCCAATGGAAAATGTGCACCTAATGACAGCTAAAGAAATGAGTTAAGAAAAACACAGCGGAATAAGGAGGAAGTTATTAACCACTTTACCTTGCAGTCATCTCCCCTGCTGATATATTTTCCACTAACTGCCAGAAAATTTGCTGTGCATGGGTAATAAGGCACAGCACACAGAGGAAAAAAGATGCAAAAACATAAAAATAAAATGATGGTCCAGGACTAGAGCTGCAGCTAACGATTATTTTCAAAATCGATTAGTTAGCCGATTATTAAGTTCGATTAATCGGTTAATCGGATAAACAATAAAATACATTTTTAAAAATGGCTCCAGTGATGGACTACTAGTTTGTATTGAGGTTGTAGTCCATCACAGGAGCAAGCTTGGAGCGGTGGAAGTAAAAAAGAAAAAAAAATAGTGTGGTGTGCAATATAGTGAAAAGGAAAGTGTAAAAGTATACAGCAATGAATGCAGAATGGCACCGGCTATAGAGGACTACAAATCCCAGCAATGGTACAATATACAGCGCAATGCAGAATATCACCAGCTATAGAGGAATACAACAAATCCCAGCAATAGTACATTATAGCTGGCGGTATTCTGCATTGCGCTGTATATTGTACTATTGCTGGGTGTTGTAGTCCTCCATAGCTGGTGGTATTCTGCATTGGGCTGTATAATGTATTACTGCTGGGATTTGTAGTCCTCTATACAGCGCAGTGCAGAATATCACCAGCTATATAGGAATACAACAAATCCCAGCAATACATTATACATACAGTGTATGATGTATTGCTGGGATTTGTATTCCTATGTATAATATACAGCACAATGTACCATCAGCTATAGAGGAATACAAATCCCAGCAATACATTATAGAGCACCATGTGTGGGAAAGTGCAGGCTTACCTGAGCAGTCTTCCAGCAACTTGCTTCTGAGATCGGACCTGTCTATCGGCGGCTGTCATCCCCCCACACCTGCTCCTCCTTACTACATCTCCCCGCGTCCCTGTGCCGATCGTGGATGTGGGCGGGCGGTGAGTGTGAGGCGGGGAGGAGGTGCGGCGTGAAGAGCGTGGATGCTGGTGGGCGGGTCTGGCAGCGGCGACCGTGAGGTGGGGAAGAGGTGCGGCGCGCAGCGTGTGTGGAGCCGTAAATAGGGCCAACTGATCGGAAGCCGATTAATCGATTATTGAAAAAGTTGACAACTTTTTCAATAATCGATTATAATCGATTATGTTGATTAGTTGTTGCAGCCCTATCCAGGACCTAATGCAAGTGCTGCAAGGGGATTTTTTTTCCATTGCATCCACCAGAACCGATACTGGCGGCACTGGCACCAATGTAGGGGGGTTAGGATTGCTGCCACTTACACCAATGGTAGGGGTTATTATATGCTGCTACTGACAACAGCAATCTTATTTTATGTCTACTTTCTCTTCGGATTACCCCAGAGCCCTATTTGTCTTAAACATAGCAAAGAAAAGAGATACAGTGTCATACACCACCACCACGTCATAAGCGACATGCATTGTATTGACCATGCCCTCAAGCTTCCAGTGGGAGATGCCCATATTTTATTCTTACTCCCTTCAAAGTGTCCCTCCTAATTATTTTCAGTGATTGTTAACTGCGTTTTTTTTTTTTATACCCACTGACACTATTGATGCAAGTTATATTTATGCCCACTTTCACTAATGACAGAGTTTATTTATAAACCGATACCAATAACTATGGTTTTTTTCATGGCCAATGCACTAATCATAGAACTAAGTTTTGCACTTACTGGCCAGCCATGTTAAGGGCCACTGTTAGATACTTTTGATCCCGGCTCTCTATAGGTTACATTACATATAAAGTCTTGAACAAAGTGTTCCTTGTTTCAACAGTAGTTGGTTGCCAAGTATTCCCCAACAGTTTTACAAAGTTGCCCTTCAAGGCAGGCTTAGACAAAGTGTAAGCTCTGTGTATATTCTGTGTGCAAGAAAGCATATGCAATAGAATTGTTTCATTTTGACAATCTTTTGTTATATGTGAGCAGTCTATAAGAGTCTTTGGTACATGCAAGTAGTCTTTGACGGTCTTTTGTAACATGTGAACAGTTTCTATTGGTCTCTGTAACATATACTGTACTGTAAATAGTAATAGTGGCTATTACTATACTGACAACTGACTCCTCCCCCAGCCCCCTATGACAGCTGTCTCCGCCCACACACCGCCGCTCTCCTAATTAGTCACAGCAGGCCCAGCGTTGCGGGACAAGAGACGCCGGCCGCTCACAGCGCTCTCTCCTCCCCCGCACCGCTTGGCCTCCTGTGACAGTTTCTCTCCTCCCCACTGGGACACACAACCGAAATTCCGGTGCATCCCTACTATTGAACCTTGACTGACAATGTAACTCCAGACAAAACTTTTTATTCCCATGTTGGATAGATAGGTCAGAACTAGGGATGCAACAAACGATTATTTTGATAATTGATTAGTTGGCTGAATAAAATATATAAATAAATACCATCCTTAATTTAAAATAAAATACACAAATACAGTGTTGCCAACAAAGTTTACTTCAGAATAAAACTGCAATGTGCACAATTTTTTGCAATCGCACTGCACATCGCACTGCACTGGAACGCACAACATTGCAGTACCGTGCATTCCAGTGCAGGGATCACACTGTGGGTAGGAGGTGCATTTGGGGTGCCATTGAAATGAATGGCACTGCAATGCACTTCCGCAATGCTCCGCAGCAGAACACACATTACTTTGGACTACAGGTGCACTGAAATGAAAAGAAATGTCGGCCAAAACTGAAAGTGTTTTTTTTTTTTTTAGTATGTTTACTATAACCACAATCATGAATGAACAGGAAGTGATGTAGATCACTTCCCATTCATTCATAATTGGAGGACACAGTAAACATACTATGTCCTCAATTATATACAAACACTCAGCGATCACTGATTGCTGAGTGTTAGTATCCGCTCTCCTTCCTGACACGGTGTCACATAAGGCTTAGCAAGTGGTGCGGGAAGGAGAGCTCTATCTGACAGCAGACTCCTCCCCTGCGCCGCCGGCCTCCTATGACAGCACTGGCTGTCTCTGCCCACACCGCTCTCTTGATCTGTGCTTCTTGATTTCGGCCAACATGTTTCGGCGGTGGATATATCGGTGCATCCCTACTTTGAACCATAAAACACATTAGCCCGCACTTACACAGGCTCAAATTCAAGATTGGAAAAGAATAACCAACTATATGATATTTCTAGGACAATTAGGTGTCCACGTTTAACACCAACATAAATATTAGGAGGATTCATTCAGGAGGTGTTCCCAGCTCAATTAAACATTTTTATTTCCCTGATGGACAGGACCTCCTGCTGTCACTAAACCTACCTGTGTTTGTGGCAATGTCAGTCACAATGCTGCTGTAAGGTGGAGGAGATGCTTCTACTGTAGAACTTCCAGATGCCTGGGCGGCCTGAGGTGCTTCTGAGGAGGTTGATGGCTGTTCTACAGCTGGAGCTTCTGAGGAGTCATCTTCATTTTCAGGCTAAGAAAAAAAAAAAAAAAAAAAAAAACACAGTTGTTTCACACAATGAAAGATTGAGAAGTAGCTCTTTTCCTTTTACCCTGGAGAAAATGCTTTCATGAAAGTCGCACCACCAGTAGGCATCCAATAAAAGTAGGTCATTTATTCATGGAATAATAAAAACATGCTTCAGGAATAAAGCATTTCATTTGTTCTACATGTTACCCAGCAATTAACCAGGTAGAACCAGTCGGATGGATCCCATGCTGTGTTCCTCTGTACATTTGCAATGTGGCACAAAGAAAATTATTTTTATTGAACTATGTATCTTCGTCCATACAAAACCGGTATGGCTGATATGTGTTGCTTCTGTACATTTTATATACAGCTTTAAAAAAGGGCATGCTATTATTTGATCCTGAATGTCTTCTAGTCTGTCTTCTTATTCTTTACGTTCTCCCTAGGGGAGATGGTTGCAGGGGCTGATATGTTCCTGATAGCATATATTAGATATGAATAATCAGTGAAGGGGGGCAGAACCCTGTTTACATGCTGCTTTAACATACAGAGGGACGTTAACGTGCCTTATGTCATTTGTTAACATATTTTGCATTAAAAGTGAATGGTATAGCAAATGCTGGGTCCACCTAATATTCCTAATACAACTTTTAGTTCATCCACTACAGCTAAATAACAGAAAGATTCTGGGTCAGTCAGCTTCCTCAAGCCAAATGATTCCATATATGCTCCCGCTCTAGGAGACCGTATACAGATGGGGAATATTTTGCTTGTCTATACATGTGGTTTTCCCAGATGACCGAAGAAGATTTCAGAACTAAACTACATGGATGAGTTTAACCTCATGCTTCTGTTTGAACGGAACATTTGCTGGCAATCACTTCCATTTCCAGCATACCGTTTTCAACCCATTGCAAGTGATGCTATTTCCAACAAGAGCTTTAAAGGCCCATTCACACATTAAATGAGTACACACAGTATTCTGGCCACTGTCAGAATACCTGAACAGAGCAAGCAGCTAATTGGCTACCAGCTCAGTTCGGCCAATAATTTTTCGACCTGCTCCTTTGATCAGCTGATCAAGGGATGCTGGGTGGAAGGGTGAGGACAGCGGCACCCACACAAAAACATTTGGCCAGTTCATCAAGAATCAAATGAAATTCGAAGCGTGTATAGCCTACTATACTGCAGTGGCCCGCGTTTTACCGCACCAGGTCAATGCAGAAAACAAATGTCCAATTTAAACCGCAACGTGAGCATGATGGGTGGTGCGATAAAATGCAAACATGCTGCATTTTAGCACAGCATACTGGATGACACTGCAGGTTGCCACACAGCAGTGTGTCATGCTGCTGTGCGAGAACCTGAAAGGATTATATACAGTACACTGTATTATTACACATAAAGCTAAAAAAATAAATACATTTAAACAGTTGCAATTGATGGAAATGCCCTCCGCACACCTTTCAGCAGTCCCGGCCGACAATCAAATAAATGGTGCTCGAAGTAACTTCACGGATGGCACCGTGCAAAACACAAGATTGAAGAAATAGGTCACCAGCACTCCATAAGTTAAAATGGATGAGTCCTTTTAATGGACAATGATGTCACAGAAATCCAACATGAGCCGACGTTTCGGGGCCACACAGGGTCCCTTCTTCAAGGCAAGAGATGTCACATGAAGAAGGGACCCTGTGTGGCCCCGAAACGTCGGCTCATGTTGGATTTCTGTGACATCATTGTCCATTAAAAGGACTCATCCATTTTAACTTATGGAGTGCTGGTGACCTATTTCTTCAATCTTACATTTAAACAGTGACATCTCCGGCAGTGTGCGATAAAACACATAGTGCTGGGGCAGCCACACCGCACTCGCGCTTCCACTAAAAGGCAACATTTTAACGAACGGGCAAGTGCGAATGGGCCCTCAAGTATATCTAAAGCCTAACATTTTTGTTGGATAGAGCAGGTAATAGTTAAAATTCCTGTGCACTATTTTATTTTTGCCATCGTGTGCTACTGAGATTTCCCATCACGTGTTGTTTTCCTGTCCTTAAGTGAAGGAAATCCTCTCCAAGAGAGCTGTGACCGGTAAAGGTGTCTCCATTGGAAAAAAATTTCCTCTATTGCTGTTCTGGTGACAACTCTTGGATCTTGGATTTTCCCTTACTTCAACCCCATGATAATGATCACCAGGACAAAAAGGGGGCGAACCCCTTACCACTCTATCAGTTCTCTTCCTGCACTCCTCAGAATCCACAATCCACCTTTTTCTTTGCGATATCCACACATATAGTCAATATAGAAGGCAGCCCTTGCAAGAGACAGGATAATCTCCAATAACAAGAAGAAAAAACAGAAAGACCAGAGGCTCCTCCTCCTTGTGAATTATGTTTCAATAGTAAAGATATAAAACCAAAATAGGCAGGCACTCACAATAAAATACAGTTGTCAAGCGCTCATCATTAGACAAAAACACCATTGAGTCTATCTCTGCTATGCAAATCTTTGCAGAGAGAATTTTTTATTTTTGTCAAAAATTGGTGATTTTTTTTTGTTTGACATGCAAATTATAAGTGTGCCTGCCTCCATGTAACAAGCACCTCCCATTCTAAGGATTCATTTCTACCTCTTTGGTTGTACCTATTGTATTGCAGTGAGAAAGGCAGAGAAGGTATGCATAGCGGAGAGACACAAGGGTGTATTTGTCTTATGATGAGTACTTGACGACTTTTTTTTTTCTTTTTTTATTATTGTGAGTACCTGACTACTTTGGTTTTATATAATTACTATTAAAACATTTCATGAGAAGGAGGCGCTGTTTTTCTTACCCTTACCACTCTATCCAAAACTACAACAAAAAATGCTGAAATTGCTATATAAAGCTAGGCATATGCACAGGGCTTTTTGTTTACTCATTTGCAAATGTACCACCCACACATCCACCAGTCATTGACATTATTTCCTTTGATAACATACAGAACTCAAATGAGTAAGAACAACAGGGAATAAGACAAATACGTCAACATAACAGTATATAGGCAAAAGCTCTAGTGTGCGGACACTTATTTTTGTTCTGCACACAGTATACTGCTGGCACAAAAGGAGGAAAAAATATAATGGACAAAAAAAAATTCTCTCTAAACCCGCACAATAGGATTACGTCATCTCAAAAAACGTTTAGTGCTCTTTTCATGTGGTCCTCTACAATGCCACTCACATCATCTAAAATATTTGGTGCAATATGATATTTAAAGAGGAGCATTTTTAAAAAGGGCCGTGAGATTCCCAAAGATTCAAATTAACACAGTGGATACAATTTTAGTAAACAAGGAGTGAAAGTTTGAATCTTTTGCATAAAGCAAGGAATCTATCTTGTTGCTGTAGGCAACAACCTCACATTTGCTCATGTTTTCATCAGTCGCATTGGCATTACTGAATACAACATTCACAATCGTGAAAATCATTTATTACATACACTGTATTGGATGTGATTGTGGTAGCAGCCAGCCGGGTCCGAGATTCAGGTCAGTATAGCTCCCTAGACAAAACAAGCACTTAACCCTTGCAGTGCAGGGGTAGCCCCACTGCAAGGGTTAATATTTCATATGCCCGGAGTTACTCTTTAATGTTTGAAAATAAGCAACTTAAGATACAAATCAGAACAACAAACAGCTGTTGTTAAACTGTACGTGTATTTATATAGACATGTCATCAAAACATGGATAAAAGAGAGATGGAGAGATTTAGGTTTAGAATAAAGACAGCTGGGAGCCTGGGAGATCTTTCACTGATAACTATAGAGAAAACTCAGAAGTTAGTGTAGACGCAAGGTCTTCTTTACGCCTGGGATCCCAAGCAATGTCATGACCTTTAGCTGTCAAAGCAGTGATGAGGTTATATGTTATGAAGAATCGATGTTTTGCAACAAACAACAGTCTCAAATTTGTTACAGTCTCAAAGTTATATTCTCGTCAAAACAACATTTTGAAAGGTAAAAAAACAGATAAAATCTAGTTCTTTATGTCCAATGCGTGTACTGCATAACAGAACTGCATAACTCTGGGATTTCCATTGAATATATACAAAAAACATTTAAATCTCTACAAGGCAAGCAAAATTGGAAAAACTTTGCGTTTCTGTGCCAACCAGAGCACCCAAGTGTAGTAAACCGTCATCAGGAAGATGAACTAGAAAGCTATCTGTAACTACAATCTGTGTGTAGGTGTATACTCAGATCACAGTCATATAGAACACTACAGTAACCTGACTAGAATATTCTTCTGCAGTTTGTGAAGCAGTACAATCTGTCCTTACTCGTGTCAATATTCATAAGTTTTTGTGAACTGACTGTGTGTCCTTAATGAAGTGTTATTCCCTCACTGTGCAATTAGTAAGGAATGTACTAGAACTACACCCATGTGACAGAAAGACTAGTCAATGCTTTGGAAATTACTGAGCCGAGATAACACCTTGATGACAACATGGACACTGTTCTGTAATTACTTTGATTAAACAATGGCTCTGTTTTATTCAAGTTTTCAGTACACCCAAATACATTTGTGAATAGAATTTCTATACAGCTGTGCATCAATTAATATAATTGTTGGCTTTCCCAAAAAACTTTGTCGCATAACACCCTGATTAGATTATATTAGATACACGAAGCAGAATTGGATAGGGCTTTTGAGATGAGAGAAGAGACCACAATACACCTGAACCAGTATAAAAGAATTTACAAAACTTTTATTAACATAGAAAGCATTAAAATATCCATGAACATAAAAGCAAGTCACCATTGTTGGCGGATAATTAACAGAATCTTAAGGAGCAATTGATTGCATCTATATGTACAAAATCCATATGGTATAAACTAGGGACGCATACGATACCGGTATTGAGTATCGATATATTTTTTCCGGCACTCGCGATACCTAATACCGATAGCGGAAGTCCCATTCAGGAAAACAGGCGGCGTGTAATGACTCGCCACCTGGCTTCCT